GCCAAATAGCAATCCTAACAAACCGATAAGGTTTGACAGGTTATTTTTCGTTAAAAAAATTCTAAAAAAATTTAGTACGTCAACGAACATTAATTGTTTAGTCAAAATATTCTCATTTAGTTTTTGGTTTTCCTAGTGTTCATAATATTCTCTTTAGTTTTCGATTTTCCTAATGTTCAAAATATTTTCATTTAGTTTTCGGTTGTTAAGTTCTCATTGTAGTTAGGTACCGATATGGATATGGATTCGATATGGATATTGTACTTGTGGGGGTGTTTGGCTAGCCCCACACTTAATATTAGTTACAATGATAAAACTGGGGAAAAACCCAAGGTTGACGTCTAGGTGTATATTTGAAAATGAAGTGAAAGAATAGCTTAGTTCGCGCGTCGCGTTCTGAACGCGAACCGAACTATAACGCCGGCGCATTGGAAAAATAAGCGTTCGCGGGTCCAAAATTTTAGAACGGAATCGAGTAAATCGCTCTAGTCCGGTGTTCGCGGGTACAAATTTCTAGAACTGAATCGTTCCAGAATTCAGTTCAGCGTTCGCGGGTTGAATATTTCCGATTCGTTATCGTTAGCGAACGATTCAACGAGTTCAAGCTAAGAGGCAAGTATTACGGGAACTCGACTTGCGCAATATATTAATCGGGACGATTATCACCCTTAACACCCTTTGGTTTTAAATTAAAACAAGGCGAAAACCAGCGCTGACCAAATACTGCCTAGGTGGAGGCCAAAAGTAAAAAAAAATAAAAGAAGACTTATGTCTTATGTCACTAATCACTAAAGCTTCGGTTTGTTTTGTTTACAATCGTCGCTTTAATTTTTATTTGGGTGCTTTGGATTTGTGTGTTTTTGTTTGGTTTTCCCGTTTTCCCATATTAGTTTTTTAAAATTATATATATTATTATATAATATTATATATATTATTATAATTATAATTATAATAATATATATTGTAATGTAACCTACCTATTCATCTCCCTGCTTGATACATTTACCTATCACTGGTCACGATAGATAATTAACCTGATCGTCTAGTTAACTTCAGCCCCAAATTCGTTGATTCATTGGCGTGAAACGTTTTAAGAAGGAGTAGGGAAAAGAGAAATAAAAGCAATAATTTGCCCAATAAAACGATTTATTGTGGGCTTGTTTACATGAAGTGCGGGTTCGTAAACGCGGAGAGGGGAAAAGAACCCGCAAGAAAAACCCCTCTCAGAAAGTACGACAAAACATCTGACAATTGGTCAAAGCCAAATAGTTTAACCATTCAGCGAACTTTAACGGAATAATAACTCCAATAACCCGAAAATCGTAGGTACGCCCTCCTCATAAACCAATATGAAATCGGACGCCCCCGATAGCGTGAGGAAACAAATAAGTTAACAAAGCGAAGAAACAAATGTGCGGTAGTACTTTCCAAAATGAATAAATCGTAAATAGCAATCATAAATCTGGATCAATAAATACCCAAATAAATAAATAAATAGATCAATAAATAAATAAATCAATAAATAAATAAATAAATAAATAAATAAATAAATAAAGAAATAGATCAGGAAATCGAGAAATCAATAAACCAATAGAGCAATAAATAAATAAACAAATAAATCAATAAATAAATAGATCAATAGATAAATAAATCAATAAATAAACAAATCAAAATATAAATCAAGATATTATTGGGTGCTCCACCCCGTCCATATGAATGTACCCGCAATTAAATAAAACAAACAGACTAATATCAGGTTCAGATTTTCCATCAGAGAGCACGCAGAGCTAAGGTTATTTGGCGCACGGTAATTGTCACGAACTCGCCCCTCGCACAAACACACCACAATCAAAACGAGAAGAAAGGTTAGAGTCAAAGGGAAGACCAAACAGTAGCATAGCCGGAGCTATTAAGCCTCACCTGGGTCTATTTCGTTGGCATAAGCGGTATGGTAGACCCCCAGAAGCGCGGCTTAACCAGAGGAAAACCAGCACGGTCGAAAATATTAATATAACTTTCACCCAGTACCCAAATGATCAACTTTTCGTCATGCCGCGGGATTCGCGACAATTACCAGCCATTTATAGGAGAACAGTTAACACGAAAGAGGTTTTCGTACGCCCCAACTTCCAATCAGAAACCGTCAATTTTGTCTCGTTATGAACTTCATAGAGCTTGCGGGTACAAATACTTCATTTAACTATATTGAGCACGCCCCTCAGGTGATAAATTCTACGAAGCAGTGCGCAAAGAAATGGACTTTACAAATTATTGGTTAAATAAAATCAATCTGGTCATTTATTCGGCAAGAACCGCCCATCACCTTGCACTGCTCCGTAGATCGGAGAGTTGATAAAAACATAGACTCACCCTACTTTCTACGTAGAAACAAAGCAACCAACGATTACAAACAAATGCACAAATTTTACAGTAACAAGCACACCTCAACAACACACGACCACCTTCGTTAGTGGTGCACAGCAAAAAGCCCTGATTTTTTGCTTTCTCCTCATTTTCTAGCGCCTTGGCCGTACTTTCTACAGCCCATCTTCTAGCCCCTAAACCCTCTCAGCGTAGAGTCGAAAATCGCCTGCGCCTCTTTGTCCACGCAATTGCACATGTGTGTGCACTTGACATTCCAGCGAACACCACGGGACCCCTTGTACCTACTTTTCCTTGGAAGTCTTTTGTCTTCCCTTAGTTTTCAGAATTCCCACATCTGGTTAGTTTCAAACGGTCAAAAATTCCTACAGGGTGAAAGCCCGAGTCCCTTCAATATAATTTTAAAAAACTAATATCTAAACTAAAAAACTAATAATATATAAATATATATATATTATTTTCTGCTGTGCTATAATTGGTAAGTTAATAAATATTCTTATGTAAGAATGATAAAAATTTAATGTTAAAATGTTTGTAGTTTACCCCGACATGTCGGATCATTTATCATCAAGCGATGATGATTTGGAGGAAATTCTAGAAGTTCTGGAAGTACCAAGAACCTCTAATTACTTCGAGAATGTTGTTCCGGAATTAACTGACGAGCAGTACATGTCTCACTTCCGTTTGAGTCGACAGTCGACTCAAAGTTTAGCCGACCGTTTTGCTCAATCCAATTACTACAATTGGCAAATAGGGGACTCCGAGAAGGTGACACCACTAAAATGCATCACTGTATTTTTATGGTTTGCATCAAATGAGGCTGCTTCATACAGAGATGTCTCAGACAGATTCGACATAAGCAAAAGTACGCTGTTTAAAATTATACGAAGAGCCGGAAACTTTATCAGCAATCTCTCTCCTGAAGTTATTACGTGGCCAAATGAGGAGGAAAAAACTGAAATTGAGAGGCATTTTGCACTGTCCAATTTTCCAGGAGTCATCGGAGTCATTGATGGGACGCATATTAAAATTGATAGACCCAACGATGATCCCGATTCCTACTTAAACAGGAAACACTTCCATTCAATTCAAGTAAGGGGATTCTAAATATATTTATTTTCACTGATTCTTGTATATATAACACATATATAGATAATAGATAATTTTGTGTTTTTATATTGATAATCTTATGGTTTTAGGCTCAAGTGGTTTGCGATCACCGACGAAGAATCCGAGATGTCTTCGTGGGATATCCTGGGTCTGTACATGACAGCAGAGTGCTAAGGACTAGTCCTCTACATGACAATTTACAAAGATTGTGCAACAACGACCGGTACTTTCTATTGGGTGATAGTGGATATCCTTGCCTCCCTAATTTGATGACGCCATTTAGAGACAATGGCTATTTAACAAGGCGCCAACGCAATTACAATTATGTATTATCATCAAATCGATACATAATTGAACATTGCTTTGGCATCATGAAGCAAAAATTCAGGCAATTGTACCATATAAAAATGCACGATATAGAGTTTATCGTGCATTTTATTCGTGCTTGTGCTGTATTGCACAATTTATGTTTAGACGAAGATGAAAACCTTCCAATTGAGCAACCCATTGGATTGGAAGTGAACAACTTCAACCTGCAAGGTAATGCAGATGATCATCCACAAAGGGACGACCGAAACGGTGTAAACGTTCGAAATCATATTATGAACAATTTATTATTAATTTTACAATAAATGTTTACTTTAATGAAAGTGTATTTTATAATTTTAAATTTTTGTCTGTTCTATTTTTATCAAATTTTTTCTGTAAAGAATTTTTAAATAAAAGTCAATTTGATTTACAAATAAATACATTAATTTTATTACTTTTATACATATATACACTAAACAATTCTTATACCTAACAATAAAACAACAATAAAAAACTACAAAAACTACATACAAAAATTCAAACCAAACACATATACAAACACTACTCTAATATCTTGCAACCACAACCAGCATCTTTCAACAGGTTATTTCTTTCCTCTAACAACCTATTTTGTTCTTGTAAAAGTTTGTTTTTTTTAACTTTTTCCTCCAACTTTTTTTCCTCTAATTGCAGCTTTTTTTCTTCGATGTTCAATCTTTTTTGATAGTACTCTCGGCGATCGCACCGTATGTTATGCAACATGCCTTGCTTACTTCTCTTTCCTTCATTTTTTATCCTCGGCGTTTGAGAAGGTGCAGAAGGTCCAGTAGGTGGTCCCACAACTTCCACGTTTGGACGAACCTCGATGGTTTCTCCCTGTGAAGGTTGGGTGTGTACCTCAGCCAACACATCGATTTGGTTGGCACACAACAGTTTTAATGGGCTAATATTTCTTTTTTTGCCCAAAATGTCGTTCATATGACTGGCATATTCGAAGGTTTTTCGTCCGCGGCCAGTTTGGTTCGAGTTGTCAAGAAATTTTTTATAATTTCTCTCCAACACCTTCCATCTATTTTCGCAGTTGCCTGCAGCAACGTTGGACCCTGTGGTCTTCCGCATTTCTTCAGCAATCTTTAAAAACATGTGTTTCAGGCTCTTCATCTGGAATGATCCAACACTCTGTCGGTACTTTCCGAAGAGCTCTATCAATAGAAGCGTATTTTCATGACTCCATGAAAATATCGCATTGGTGGTGTTGCTGCTGGTGGATGGCCCTTCAGGAAACACCAAATTCTCTGAAAAAAAAGGAAATGATTATAGGTATTTCAAATGAAAAGAATATCTTAAATCTTAATTTATATATCTTAATTTAAAAATCTTTTTAAATTACCTTTATTGCCACATAGTATAACTTCGTTGGTAACATCCAAAACGGCGTTGGATTCCATTTCAACCAAACAAAGACCTAAAAAGTATAAAAAACAAAATAGTGTTTAGATATTGGATTAGTTTAACAGAACTTACAAAACTTTAACTACTTTAATAAATTTAGATATAGGTAACTTACGTTGATAACTTTGGAGAAATATTTATAATTTTTAAATTTATAATTCGCCTTGGCAGTACAATATCGATGTTCACGTCGTACGAAAAACGAATACTTGAAAAACACTCCCGCTGTAGGCATCGAAAACGGTTATTTCCACCCCTACCGTACCTGAAAATCCCATCAAAATAGTAAATACCCAATTTTCAGAATTAGAAAGCGCCTTGTTCAGCATTGCTGGCTGGATTTCCAAGATTCAGGTATTCAGGTAGAAAGTTGAAAGTACCGGGAATTGTAGTGAACTCAAAAAACCCCAACGCACAGCAAATGACAAAAATTAGCCCTCTATTGTAATAAATTTCAACTTTTAACTACAAAATAATTTGGCGTTTACAGACAAAATTTGAACGGTTCAGAACTGGACATGCGCTTTATGTCGATTCTAAAAGGGTTCGGTTCGGATTCCGAACCGTTCCAAAAAGCGACCCGCGAACAAAGCTATAATAACAAATGTTCCTATATACAGGTAACGGAGAAGCTGCTCTGAACCTTTATAAAGAATCACCACATACCGGTGGAGACCGTCTCCGGGGGATCCAGAAACAGACGCTTAGCTGCGTGTATTGGGTGATCCGCCATTGCTGTCCTGTAGCTGTGAATCACCCGCGCCCGAGGCCCACGACAACTGATGACGTCCAAGCTTCTTCTAGCAATATTCCTGCCATATCAAAATTGCCGCTTGATGGCCGACAGGATTAGTCGTGACAGACCAAATCAAAATTTATAAAGAAGCACCACATACCTTCCCCCCGAATGAAAAATTGAACTCAATTTAAAACAAAAGTAACTTTCTTAGAATTATTAGAAGGGATTGACTCCTCGACATCATTTAACAAGAAAGCGGGTTTAAGTTTATCGATATTTATTACTACTTCTTTGTTACCTTTTAAAATTGTAAAATAACTTTAAAAGGTCCCTCATAGGGTGGAGTCAACGCTGGTTTAATTCCAATGACTCTGACAAAAACATATTCTGCGTTTTGTAGCTCCGGAGATACGAAAGTTTTATGCGAACCGTGGCGAACTACTTGAGAACTCTTTAAATTGGCAAACGCTTCTCTTAATGTACATAAAATGGGGTATGAATCTACCTCCTCACCAGAATCTAGGAAGAATTCTCCAGGTAGCCTTAATGGTTGTCCGTAAACCAGCTCAGCTGAAGAACACTTAAGATCCTCTTTAATGGTTGCTCTAATGCCTAGTAAAACTAAAGGAAGTTCGTCCTTCCAATTCCTATTATTCCTGGCCATGATTGCTGCCTTAAGAGTACGATGAAACCTTTCGATAATGCCGTTCGCTTCCGGGTGATACGCAGTGGTTCTAACACTTTTAAAACCCATTTTATTACTAAACGATTTAAAAATATGTGATTCGAACTGCCTTCCCTGATCATGCGTCACAGAAACAGGTACTCCGAACCTAGGAATATACTGATGCAATAAAACTTTGATAACATCCTCAGTGGTAATATTTTTTAATGGGTACGCTTCTACCCATCTCGTACAACGATCTATAACTGTTAAAATGTAACTACAATTGCCTGAAGGCTTCAATGGACCGACTATGTCTATGTGGATATTGAGAAACCTCCCTTTAGGGATTTCATAATTTCCTATTTCTGACTTCGTGTGCCTTGAAATTTTACATTTCTGACAATTAAAACAACTTTTTGTCCAACGATTTATATCTTTATTCATTCTCGGCCAAAAGAAACGGGACCTAATCAATTTCTGTGTACCTTTGATACCTGGGTGAGATATGCTATGCATCTTTTTAAAAATGTTATAGCGCAACTCTTTTGGTATGTAAGGTCTCTTTTCCTTTCCGGAAAACTCACACCAAATGCTTACGTTTGGAATATTTGTAATGTGTTTGCCTAAAACTACTGTACTACGTTTCTTTTTATCTTTTTGAAAGATAAGCAGATTTTCTAATTTTCTAATTCGCATTTCTAATGTTGCTTGTAAATTGAAGAATAAATTCTATATATCTAAATTGTCTGGGGCTCTTTTCGGATTTTGAAAAAATAGCTTTCTCTATTGGACGGTGATCAGTGAAAACTGCGAAGTTGGGATTATGCTCTAAGTAATGTCTGAAATGTCGTATAGAAACGTATATTGCAAATAATTCTTTATCGAAAACTGAGTATTTCAACTGTGTTTTGCTCAATTTTTTTGAATAAAAAGCTATTGGTTTTGTTACACCATCTACTGTTTGCTCTAAAACACTTCCAATCGCGATGCTTGAAGCATCTGTAGTTAAACTCAATTTTGCTCCTTCAATGGGATGCGATAAAAGCGATGCATTAATTAGAAGATTCTTTGATTCATTGAAACTTTTCTCACAAGCTTGCGACCATGAATCGAAAGATTTCTTTTTATTCTTCTCTAAATAGGCAACAAAATCATGTAAAGGGCTTAGAGTTTCCGCGAAATTGCATATAAACTTATGATAGAAATTGATCATGCCAATAAATCTTTGTAATTGTTTTAGTGTGTTGGGTTTGGTAAAATTGACGATATCGCTTACTTTTTCTTCAGAAGGCGAAATTCCTTCTGACGAAATAGTATAACCCAGAAAAACTAATTTATCAACACCAAAGATGCATTTGGATGGTTTCACGTTTACACCGAAAGAGTTTAACCTCTCGAACAATTTTTCTAAATGTTGGAAATGTATTTCTTCATTTTCGCTAAATATGATCAGATCGTCGAGGTAGACGAAAACAAACTCGAGTCCTTTGGTAATCTCATTAATAAATCTCTGAAAAGTTTGACCTGCATTTCTCAATCCGAAAGGCATTCTGTTAAATTCAAAACTGCCAAATGGTGTAGTTATCGCAGTTTTGAAAATATCTTCCTCGGCCACGGGAATTTGATGGTAAGCCCTAACCAAATCGACTTTAGAAAAAATTTTACAATTCTGCATTATGCTATTAACGTCTGAAAGAAGCGTTAAAGGATATCTATCTGGTACTGTGACTGAATTAAGTTGTCGATAGTCTCCACACGGTCTCCAATCGTCACAATCCTTTTTAGGGACCATATGTAATGGTGATGTGACTGGGGACGCAGAGGGTCGACAAATTCCTAATTCAACCATAGTTTCGAATTCCTTTTTTGCAATTTTTAATCTTTTAGGATCTAGTCGACGTGGCTTACTGCAAGGGAGATGCCCTTCGGTGACAATATAATGTTTGACATTGTGAACTACAGGTTTGAAAAAATCGGGGGACGAGAAGATTTGGGAATGTTTCTTAAAAAGTTCGGTATATTTATTTTCAACGGCGAATAATCTAGGTGAAATATCTATAGTTTCTATTGCTTTAACTGACGTTTCATTGTCAATAAGACATTTATTCTTGATATCGATTAAAATTCCGTAATGAAAAAGAAAGTCCGCACCAATAATAGGGCGGGAAACGTCAGCTACTGTAAAGGTAAAGGGAAAACATCTCTTTAATCCCAAATCAACTTTTATCAATTTCTTTCCATAAGTTGAAATGGAATGTCCAGAGGCCGATGTGAGAACTATATCATCTTTCTTTGCTTCCTTAAATAGTTTAAACGGCAAGCAACTGATATCTGCTCCGGAATCGCAAAGGTATTCCAATTTATTAGTTCTATCGTAAATAAATAGCCTTTTTGAGACGTTTTCACCTAAATTAGAAACTGTTGAAAAACTTACTCGTTTTTTGAACTCTGCTGGCCGTTAAAATATTTATGCATGAGGCATGAAGGCCCAGCGCATTTTTTGGCTTCTTCCCCAAATTTGTAATGATAAGTACACAGTGGTTTATTGCTTTTACGCTTGTCGAAACTATGTCTACTTTTTGATCTAGCTCTACAAGAACTGCACTGCGTATCATCGCGACTTTTATGTGAATTTTCGTTTTTAATTGCATTTATTTCGGATTCGAGAGTTTTTTGTTTTTCGAAAACCTTATCAAACATTTTTTGAAATGTTTCGGAAAGATTAGTTAAATTTTTATTAAAGGACGAAATCCCCTCAGTCGTATTATCGATACCGTAAATGCTACTGCTGGTTTGGGCACTTTCCCAGATGCTATCTGCCAAATCTAAAATTTCTTTTTTGTCAATTTTTCCCGAAGCCGTTATTGCTATAACCACATACTTTGGAAGACGTCTTTTCCAAAGCCTCAAAAGCAAATCTTGGTTGATAATTTGGTTATCGCCAGCTAAACGTTCTAGTTCTCGGTAGAAAGCGGAAGGCTTTCTATCGGCAATTTCTGAATTTGAAATTAATTTTTCGAGCCGCTTTTCGTTGCTTAAGCTAAGTCTTTCTATAATAGTTCTCTTGAGAGTTTCGTACATATTAGTTGTCGGTGGATCATACGCGATGTCGGTTACATTGCTAAATATTTCGATCGGAAGGTTAGACAAAACTAAATGGAATTTGTTTTTGTCAGATGTTATCCTATTAATAACGAATTGGCTTTCTGCCTGGAGAAACCATAAATCCGGGTTTGCAATGTGAAAAGAAGTCAATCTAATTTGTTTAATATCGTCGATGCTAGCGTTTTCTGCGTTTTCAATCATATTTGAAAAAAAATGTTTGACTAATCCGTCAACCAAAAGCGTCAATAATGATATAACAGAAAAATTGCTTACTGTAGTTGACGGGATGTGCAGACCTCAGGCGCACTCACTCACGACGATTCTCGACTGGATCGGGCATAGCGGACACTCTCATCACTGGATCGTTTCTACTGACGAACTCTCAAACTGCTAACAATCTTAAAATTTGGGCATCTTGAAAATCTTCGGGAATTGACTGTCGGGGTCACCAATAAATGTGGGGGTGTTTGGCTAGCCCCACACTTAATATTAGTTAAATGATAAAACTGGGAAAAACCCAAGGTCTCGAGGTGTATATTTGAAAATGAAGTCAAAAAGTATAACAAATGTTCCTATATACAGGGTGTTTGTAAATTACATGTACATATTAAAACTGGTTAAACTATATGCTTAATAAAAACTATTGTATAAATTATTTTCTCAAAATAGCGTATTAAACAGGAGGAAGGATCTGCGAGAGGGGTTGTCTAAACGGCGGTAGACAATACCATCTCGCAGATAGCGAATCAACGGCGAGAGCCATCTATCGGGCGAAGGCGAAGCGGCTAAGGCGGACAAGCGCGCATGGCAAGGGGAGGTTGGGAGGACAGTGTCAAGCCGGCGTTGGTGTGGCGTACTTGAGTACTACGGCGGTTCTGGCGATTTATTTAATTTTTGTGTTATACAGAGTGTTCTAATAATTAAAGTTATTTTGTGAAAATTCTCGGCGTTTCAAGTCAGAAGTGGGATACGGCTTAGCGTGCAAACAGGCGAGTTTGAGTGAGTTTTCAGGCGGAAAATCTCTAACGGCGACAGGGCGAGGGCGCCATTTTGTGCGACAGACAATTGCGGTTAGTGCTTAGTGTTTAGGCGTTTAAACAGTAAGTACCCCTTTTATTATTGCGGCGATATGTATTGGAATGGAGCAAATGCGGTGTAATTGCGAAATTTGATCGGCGAAATTCAAAAACCGAATTAATTACCGGCGAAGAAGAATGGATGT